ATAAGTTATATCATAATAGGGTAGAATGAGTATCCAAGTCTTCATACTCAGCAATAAGTTATATCATAATAGGGTAGAATGAGTATCAAAGTCTTCATACTCAGCAATAAGTTATATCATAATAGGGTAGAATGAGTATCAAAGTCTTCATACTCAGCTATAAGTTATATCATAATATATAGCAAAGGGTGGGGATTACAAGTTTCCATTTTAGGAACTAGGGACTAAAATCCTAAGGGCAGGGCAGAACGTCTAGGTAAATACTGGGTTTGTTTTTTCATGCCTGACAATTATATCAATACAGCTGGTGGCCATGGAATTCTCAACCATTTCCATGGACTAATTATAAGTTTCCAGGGGTTGGCAAAAGCCCCAAGACTAATCCTGGTAACATCTATGAATCAGCCTTTTCATGCCTAGCAATTTATATATGGCTACTGGATGAGGATCTTGTGATCAACCATTTTTGAAGTCATGACTCAGTGACTATGCTCAAGAGTTAAGATTGAACCCATTGGGCTAGTCTGAGAAGCACATGTTTATTGGTACAGTTACATATATATATAGTTCCCTCTGAACAACACTTTCAGGAGCCATCCCAGTATGACAGGGATCCATGTCATAGGGAAATGGTGACCATATGGCCACTCTAAGAGAGTACCTTTCCTTCATCTAGGCGTTGGACTCAAAAACTTTTATTATCTCTTTATAATGTTCAGTCTATATTAGTAGGTTATTTCCATCATTCAAGATGACCTCAACCTAGCTTTACAATGATTATCAAAATCCGTTATTATAAGACCAGTATATCTACCAGCTGGATGAAACTCTGCACGACAACCTACCAATGGACTATTCAGTATGTAAAGAGTTTACATTCTCTAACTATTATGTCCCGCTAGACAACATTTTTATTGATGTCCTTTTAGATATGTATTGATATGGGCTTAACAGAGTTATCTATCTTGTACTAACTATTGATGATGTCACAATACTACCTATTGTTTATGACGTCACAATCTCTGCCATTGTTAATGATGTCACTATATATATATATATGTAGATCAACTGTATGTGCCCACAATTTTAGTACTTCAGGGAAAGAAATGTCCTATAAATTTGTCCTGAAGAAGCCCACTGTAGGGGCGAAACCGGTCAACACTTCTAATAAACTACAAGAATAAGTTATTGCTCCTTCGCCTGTTGTGATTGAACCTATTTTATGAGTTACATAGAGGGTATTTCAATCGTTTACATGGTTGACAAGGTCTATATGGGCGGGGGCAGACCCAAGTTCAATCCTGGCAGCATATCAGTTTTTGTCTTTTCATGCCCAGCACTTGTATATATGGTTATAGGGTGGGGATCTAGATCAGAACTCTTTCCATATTGTTACCAAGCCACTAAGTTCTTGGTGGTGGTGCCAGACCCCAGAGTCAGTTCTGGTGGTGGTGCCAGACCCCAGAGTCAGTTCTGGTGGTGGTGGTACCAGACCCCAGAGTCAGTTCTGGTGGTGGTGCCAGACCCCAGAGTCAGTTCTGGTGGTGGTGCTAGACCCCAGAGTCAGTTCTGGTGGTGGTGGTACCAGACCCCAGAGTCAGTTCTGGTGGTGGTGCCAGACCCAAGAGTCAGTTCTGGTGGTGGTGCNGACCCCAGAGTCAGTTCTGGTGGTGGTGCCAGACCCCAGAGTCAGTTCTGGTGGTGGTGCCAGACCCCAGAGTCAGTTCTGGTGGTGGTGCCAGACCCCAGAGTCAGTTCTGGTGGTGGTGCCAGACCCCAGAGTCAGTTCTGAAAGCATGACTGTATTTGTCTTTTCATGGGAAGCAATTGTATATCTGGAAATGGGATTGGGATCTTAAGTTCCAGGGGGCGCTGGACCAAGTGATCAAACCTGGTGGGGATCTCTACCATTTCCATGTTACAAGGGAATAAGTCTCAAAGCTAAAGGCTTGTGTAGACCATATTAGCAATATACATACCATATAGCTTGATATTCCTTTGCTGCCACTCTTGTCAAGTGTAAACCCAAACTGAAAAAATTTAAACCAAAATGGAACCTAAAATAAGATTCATTTGTTCAATTTTTTTCTGAACTTTCTAATATCATACATGCACATATGTACAGTAGACTGTCTCCATCTCATAACTGATCACAAAATATCTAAACTTCCAATTATTCAAACCTACGAATAACTGATCATGATAATGTTTTAAATCACTATTGCATATGACAAGTCTGGAAGAATATCAGATCATTTCTTACATTCAATCAAGTGTAAAAGTCACAAGATACATAAATATAACCAGTGTTTCCTTCTGCATGTACACCTAGTCGGGCAAATGGCATTATTGACACATCAATTTGTTGATTTGATTGTCATTTCGTAATGTTTAACAACTAAATGTACTTATAGACTATAGCGTATCCGAATCAATTGTGATTTGATTGTTGCCAACTTGTACATTTGATTTATTATAAATTAGGTTTAACATATTCTACATGTTTTTGTTCAGTTTCTGAATTTTCACCAAACAATGAAAATGTAGCCATAATGGTAACCAATGCTATGTTCTTGACTTATACAATATTATAATGTCATCTAAATTAAAAGTGCCTTTATAATTATTATGACAAATGTCAGAATGTACGACTTCCATATTTAATTAAGATAACGGGAATAATGATGGCCTTTTGTGATATTACTGACAAATAATTAATATCAAGTCAAGGTTACCATTGCATCTTTGTAATTAAACTGTTCTGGGCTGGTGACAGCAAATACGGTCATGTTCACCGCCAGTGTCCCCTTCTTCAGGAAGCCAAATGTACTTAGGGGTACCTCTCGCCGCTCCTCTGTCTGTAAAAACACACAAATTGATCATATATTACCTCTCGCCGCTCCTGTCTGTAAAAACATGCACATCATATAGTACCAAGCTAGGCTGCATTTACAGTTTATCATAGCTAAAACATAAATAACAGGATTTATCTTTTTGAGTGTTATGTAATTTGTTGTGAAGTTTTAATTGCACAAGTCCAGTTTTAATAATCTGCCAATTGAGCTACATGTATATATATAGCTGTATCAACCTAATATAGCTGTAAAGACCTAATATAATATAGCGGTATCAACCTATCCGTACTGGACTGGTTGTTGAAATAGAATATTTTAAGTGTATGTGTCCCATTTGGATCATCATAAAAAATAAGTACTTATGACCTATCAGAACATATAATGTATGTGGGCTACTTATTACTGCCCTAGATACATAGGTTAAACACCACCACTTTTTTCCGCTTTGAAGCTGCATGCCCAGGTGTGGAACAGTATATATACCTAATGAGATATATGTCAAGCAGAAAACTACAGAGATGTTTGTAAACTATTGTGCACCTGGAATGGTGAACTCTGCAAGTGCTCTATATGTTCCCGATTCCATTTTAATTTTTCTGTTGTTATTAACCAACTAGTGTTTGTATCTTTTAACCGGTCTTCTAACCGGTCTTCTAACCGGTTTAAGTAAGTGTTGTAATTTCGGTTTTGTATGCAAAAATTGTTAACAACCCTGTGATATCTTCTTTGTTCAGTTAATTGTCATGGATTGTATCAGGTCAATAGGCAAGGTAGGTGGGGACTGCCCCAACTTCCTGTCCTGCAACATTCCATTGTAAACTCCTGTATTTGTCAGTGAATGTTTTTTTATTTATTTTTTATTTTTAAAAGTTCTCTCATCACTTAATGTCCATTTGAAAGACATGCTTGTGTATTTTTTCACAATTAAATCCCCTTATGCTGTTATAATAGTATAGAAATCCAGTGATATTTTCCTAAGTTTAAGTGGTGTGATTAGTCAATCCAAATAATCTACCAGGTAATTTGCTTGGTGTTATAGGGCTACATGTAGGTAGGTAAGGATTGGCCCAACCACCAGTCCTATTAAACACTCTTCACATTGATCAATTAATCTTTAGGTGATCTTAGCCTGTATATATATTGCTATATTGAACACCAACTGATCAGTGATCATATATAACTATACTGTAGTTAGTGTACTTTATTTTGATTCATCTGTATTTATCCTTGCATTGTAGGCCTATGTTTATTTGCATGCATTTTTTCAGTTTTGTTTATTACTTAACCCTTATTTGCCGCAAAAAAGCTCTACTAAACTAATGTTTGTATGCTTCTGGTATGCGACAATAAATGAATATTCTTGTATCTTGTAACGTAGGCTATGTATCTGAGTTTTACCACTGGTGACGTTTTGTACGAATTACTTTTTTCCCAGAAACAAGAGTTGTATATCATTCACAAGAAATATAGATCCATATCCAAGGAAATAACGATAAGTCTTCACCTTTAAATCCAGAGAGAAAATCCTCCCTTGGGATGGCAGGACAAACAGGGTTAAAATAAACACAAGTGTCAACATCATAGACTTCGCCATTTCGTCCATGTTGGCGACTGGATTACACTGTAAGATGTTACACAGTACGTGATTGGGTAATGACCAGCGAACTGACCAATCCACGTTTATTTTACAAATTCTAGGGGACACAACTCGTAGAATGAAGGTGTAGCGCCGGTATTTGGTTGAAATATATCAAAGGATTTATTTAATTACGTACTGGTGTTGTTGTTTTGTTTTTATTGCCTTACACAAAGAATGATGTTCGCCCACCAGACTGTTGTTATAGCTGAGTAGCTCATAATTAACTTTTGATCACCTCATCACCACCTCGACTCCAGAGTCCAGGTAACCAATCAAATGTATTTGATCACTCACGCAATATGGTGATAAATATGACAGGACATGTGATACTGTTATGTAATTCAAATATGGTTTCCATTTATGGCCGAAAATTTGGTTTCATTTAATACTCGCACGGAATTAGATTATCTAAGTCCTTGATACTAGCGCTCGTACAAAATACGAGAATTTATTTCGGCCATAAAAGGAACGTTATTAAAGTAACTTGATTTCATTAGATACTTTTTGCCCGTTTATATGAACAATTAATTGATGTCCGAACGGATACTATTTGTCCGTCTGTATGTTCGGTCATCGGCGGATCAGTATGAATAAAATCATAGTTTCGGCCTACACATTATATGACCGCCGACGATATGTCGAGCGGAAATATAATATTTAATAAAATCAAATATCGACATACGTGTACATGCTTATGAGAACCATGATTTCATTAGATACTCAGTGCCCGTACATGTATTTAGTACGAGCGCTAGTATCAAATAAAACCATATTTCGGTCATAAACCGAACATACAGACGGACATACCGAACATACAGACGGACATATACACTTTTATCGCGTTAAGCCCTAACGCGTTAGCATTTAACGCGTTAAGGATGTACTCTTCTGAGGTTTCAGTCACGTTCAAGTCTCGTTTTGATCTGGTGTAACGGGTTTTTGTAATATTTAACAAATTATGATAGGTTTAATAGCAAACACACATCTGAAAAACCTAGATGTCTGTTGTTTGTAGAACATTTTTTACAAGAATTTGAAAAAAATGACCAATTTGGCGGCCATTTTGAAAAAGTGTATTTATGTGAATCTCTTGCGCTTCACAAAGGGCAAAATTTCACCTTTTTTGACACTAGATTGATCACTTAATTTGTTATTGTGTCACCATTTTTAAATGTAGCAGGTTCAATTTTGCTGTACAACTTTATAATGTTCAATATGATTAAAATTATATGCAAAAAGTGGAAAGTTATATATTTTTTTTTTTTTTTTTTTTACATATTAGGGTAACTGAAGCACTTTTGATTTTTGACCCCGAAAAAGGTGAAAAATAACACAAACCCATTTTTGTGGCTGTTTTAGAAAGAGAAACACATTTTCTTTTTGATTCATTGAATACTAAAAAAAGCTTAATACAGGAATTTTTTATATCAAGCGTTTAATCTGCAAAAAATAAGGGGTAGGGGTAACTAAAATCGCATTTCTGAGTTAAATGAATAAGATTAAGAAATTTTACTTCCATAATTTAAAAGAAAACAATATTTTTATCAATTCTACAAACATTCATACATATCTGATAACACACTTGGAAGAAATTGTATGAATTTGTTCTGCAAATGGTCAAAACCCGAAAATTCACCTAAAATCACCTATTGTGTTAAATTGGTATCTTTGACCGATCATAGCACAAAAACGAACACACGGACATATATTTGTTTTTGCATTTTCTACTATGCCATTATTTCCTTTTTCCAAAAATCAACATTAGAAAAAAAGTTTAATATAGGAATTTTTTGACTTCTCAGAGGTGTACATCCTTAAATACATGTGTATTGCGTCAAAAAATAATTTATCGCGTTAAATGCTAACACGTTAAACTCGACAACCAATCAGATGCGTCCTTGCATTTCAGCATTGTGAAACCAAAATGTAACTTATAGTTGTAGAGGGGCGGCTTTCGGATCGTACAGTTTCCTTGGAATTTTTTTTATTTCATTTTTTTTTTAATTATTTCAATTGAGTTTATGAGCAATATGTTTAAGAAGTAGGCAGATGCTATTTGTTCAAAATGTATAAAACTAATAAATTTTGATTTAGAATACATATCATTATTTTTTATTGCAAAATAACAATTGCTGTGTCATTTTTATCAAAGTATTCCATTTTGGGTACAGTTCCATTTTGGGTACCCTCACCATACACCCTTGCGATGAAAGAAGGTCACCTTCTAATCCAGGGAAACAGTACGATGCGAAAACATAAATTTTCGATCATATTTCTTAACATTGAAAACTATATGATCAAATGAATTTTGAGGGAATAAATGAGTAAAATTTGCCAGAAATTACAAAAGTTTGTTTAATGAAGAAAATTATTAAGATGCTGTCAAGTCATTTTCATAAACTGATTTGCTAATATCATATTATGAAGTGTTCCATTTTGGGTACTCGACCAGCAAACAAGTGAACATGACGCACTTTTTAATAAGCTCTATAAATAGACACTCATGCTGTTGATACCCGAGAAATACATAAGATGAAGGCTTAAGGCATGTATTGTTTCATTACAGTCAAAAAATCAGCCTTTCAGAAACTTAATTTGAAATTTTAATATTTTTCTTCAAAAAGTGTTCCATTTTGGATAGCCTCAACCTAGTACTCTCAAGGTGAATACACATGAAGTTTGATAACCATGATACATGGAGCTAAACGCAAAGTGTACCCAAGGTAACAGATATAGGGTTAACACCTTCTACCACTGCCCATTTTGTGGAGGGTGCATAAATGATTAAACAGTTAGAACCCTGGTTTGATTGGTCAATTCCGGCACCCACCACCTCTTACGTAAACCAGCGGCTGAGAGCTGTCGGAGTTATTATGTGTACCATACCTGAATCGCGACAAGAAGACAGTCTACGTCTTTATGGAGAAAATGAGCATGTTCAGTCGCCTGATGTGTCTCTGACTTAAACCACGTGACCTTACAACTTTGCAAATATAGAAGTGTATACAAAAGGTGTACCGTTAATGGGAAATTGGGCATTTTTTGTCTTCTGAAGTGTCAGTGACATTTAACTTTAACCCCTATGACCTCGAAACTTTGCCAAATTTTTTTTCGTATTTACAGAAAGTGTACCATTTTTAGGAAAATTTGCATTTTTAGTCTTCCAAAGTGTCGATGTATATGTATATAAAAAGTGTATTGTTTTTTTAGGAACTTTGCAATTTCAGTCTCCCCAAGTGTCAACTACCTTGACCTTTGACCCTGTGACATAGAAACTTCGCGGAAATATTCCTTGCCGCATTACTTCCTATAGCTTTCTAATATATATGTTTATACAAAAAGTGTTCCTTTTTTATGGAAATTCGCAAATTCAGATTCTTGCCATGTTTCATTTGTATCTAGTGACCGTGAGCTTCAACCTCATGACGTTTCATTGTCTTCAATTTACTGCTATTTGTTAACAAAAAGTTAGCCGTTTTTTAGTTAACAAACTAGTTTCATAAAATATTAACTATGCAATGTCATCTGCTTATAAACCATCGTCTTATCCGGACCCGATGAAAAGTATAATTTTGGGCACCGATTTGGAAGTTTATATTTGGTTAGGACTGAATCTTCATTGCGATGCATGTAAATTGACCTCATCTCAGCCGCTCTAAGCCATCTTACTCGAACAGTCAGCATTCATCAGCCTTTCTTCAAGCTATCGAAAAAGAACCATCACAAAGTTCTAAGAAAACCCATTAATTTGAATGTTAATCATTGTCACACACATTTTGGAGCTGTTCGTATCATACAATATGTTACATTTAAACACTTACATTACTTGCAAATATAAGTGAAATGTTTGAAAAAGGCGTGTTTACAACAATGTTTATTTATAGGCATTTCAGTCAAATGTTCTCAGTACTGACTGGTGTTCATCGGGATTTTGATAGATGTATATTTAGACAAATTATTAACTGAAACCTTTACTAATGTGACGAGTTTGCCTGCATAAACGTTAGGCCTAAGTAATGATTATGGTTATGGTTCGTTGCCAAAATAATCCTTCATCCACGATAAGATTATTAGGCCTAGTACAATATTCTATAAAAAATAAGTGTGTCCCTTGTGCCAGCATCCCCATCAATGCCAACACGATAACAGTAATCCACTGTTGATAGGAATTCCTGGAAAAAACCCACAGGCCCTGGCGTCGTCAGCAATGATTAAGTACTATATGTAATTGCACATTTGATTGGTCCATTCATTTATGACACTTTAACGCGTTAAAAAAATAAGTACAACATTTAACGCGTTACACTTGGGAAGCATTTTATCGCGTTAAAATATATTTGATTGTTTAACGCGATAAAAGTATTTATTATACCTCTACTTATTTTATACTATACAAAAGTAACCACATAAACAAGCTATTTGCCCTCTAACTGCATGCCAGGGAAATAGTTCGTCTGGAGGGGTGCGATAGTTTTGAAACTATTTCCCTCGGAAAATGCGGGAAATTGAGTGACGTCGTGGGCGGAGCCTGACCGAATATTGACCAATCAGCGCAATCGAATTACCTCGGCAATTTCCGGCCAGCAGAGCCGGTACTTTCTGGACCGACCTTCACCTCGCAGAGCGAGTTGTCGGACATATTGGAGGCAAAAGACAGTTGGAACACAAAAAAACCAGTACAGGCATCCGTTACATTGCTCTCTAGCTACCTCACTGAAAAGATTTTGGATATCGCGGACATGGAAACGGGCACAGTGGAGAATTGCGATGCGACGCTGAGGCGTTTTTATGCCGAGCTTCGAAAGCAGGATGGGAAAAAATATGCCAAAAAATCTATGGTGACTATGCGGTTTGGTATACATGTGATATCCTTCATTTCATGTTATTGCAATTACTACTTTTTTCTGATGTTGATTCTCAAGAAAATTTTAGTTTTGTTAATAAAGTGTCCCAACTGTTGAAAATTTGTT